AAGATATATGAGAAGATTTAAACAAATATATATATATATATATATATATATATATATGTATATATAAATAAAAAAGATTAAAAGTGAGGAAGATGGGCACCTTAAAATTAAAGGAATTTTAAAGGAAAGACAGATTTAACTCCATCCATCCATTTGAATAATTTGCTAACCTGACTAATCCATAGCTGCTAGCTAAATACATGTTTGCCTTCTTTTAAAGTAATTGAGTTATGTTTCCGTCCGTAGATCTGAGTGCATCAACAAGTTTGCATCAGTCTTTGGCACCATGCCTCTGAAGGTGGTGGAACACCGAGCGGACCCGGTGCTCTACAAAGACGACTTCCCCGAGAAGCTCAAGAGCTTCCCCAACATCGGCAGCCTCTGACCGGCACGTCAACACTTCAACATGTGTCACCAACTTTTATATCCAAACATCAATATTCAGATCAAAGTGTCACCCCTCAGTCAAAGACACTTTTACTTTGATTTTTGAATATATTTTTAAAGGCAGAACTGAACAGAACATTAAGTTAGGACACTGTAATACGGGGATGCGGATGACAATGATTTGTTTATTTGGCTTCAAATTATTTTTTAAACATTTAGTAATACAAGTGCATAGACTAATGTTACATGGAGGGTGACCTTGAGTCTGATGTTTGATGGACAGTCCGACTGAAGTCTTTCGGCCCCCTCACTTTTACTGTTTTGGACTTTTGGCTCCAGCTGCTCTGGAATCAGTGTACAGTGTATATATGTTTATTTTGCACCAGAGCTGTATCATAGTTATAATTAATGATGCTCCAACTTGGACATTTTCTTCTTCTTTTCAAAAGATAACATGGACCTTATTATTTTTAGCTGCCCTGTATTAAAAGGAAACCTTTGAATACCATGAAACCATGATATATAGTAAATGATTCAACGACATATCAATGTAGGGTCTCTTTAACAGTTAATTGAATGTAACACACCATATACAACTATAGACAAAGCTGGTACAATAAATCTAATATTTAGAGTGAGTAACTGCTGATTTAAAAACACTGATGCAGAGCTACTGGAACATCTTGAATTGTATTGTTTTATTGCCTGTGCAAGCCTTTCGTTTTATTTATATATACAAAAACGCAGTGGTGCTAATTGAAGGAGCCACTAAGTAATTTCATGGGCTTCATGAGTTATGCATATGAACGCTGCATAAGTATAGGAGTACTTATTGTTTGCATTTGAAGACACGTAATGTATAGTGAATAGTTGAACATTTCCAAATCCACACTTTTCAAAATGTATTACCAGCAATGCTTTGTTTTTATTTTTCCATTATATTCTGTGTGTTTTCATATTTGTGTCCTTTTCATCAGTAGTAGTATTTAGGCTTTAACCTTGAAAACATTGCCTTGTGATTGTTTTATTTGCCTTTTTTATTAATATCATTTTCATAAGGTCAGTGAAATTGTTCAAAATGGTTCATCTATGACTTTGTAATACATGATTAGTAAAGACTACACTACTACGTCTCTCGGTTTTGCTTAACATTGTTCCATCTATTCATGGGAAGACAATGAAGTCAAACGTATTCCTTCCTTTTCATGTGCGTCTGTACTCCCATCTGTGACCGTGCAGAGCCGATCCTCCGTCACACGGACGATCCTCTGTTCCCTCAGCCCGTCACCTGTTGTTAATATACGCAGCCTAATCCTCCCTGTTCAATGTCAGCAGTTCAAAAGGGCGCAGTTCGTATTTTTGTCAACTTCAATTAGTGTGATACTCTTGCACGATCTCATTTCAGCACTTGTGTCTCTTCAAAGGGTTTGAAATGCATGGGGATTTCAGAATGACTAAAGGGTGACACAATATTTTGGCAGGGTGCTGCAATGCAATAGTGCAATACTGTTTTTCTTAATAACAGGCAACTTATTCCCAAGTTGTGGCTTTCCATTATCTTTAACTGATTGACTTGAAAGGCTTTTCTTTATACCGAGAGAGACTTGAGCGATCTCTAAACACTGGAGAAGAGTTGTATTGGTGTGTTAACAGCTGGAGGAAACCACCATTACCTTCTGTCCTCTATAGTCTTTTTCTATTTTATCCTTGAAAAGCATGTTCTACATTTGATGACATTGCATCACAAAGGTTGACTCTGAATAGGAGTGCAATAACTTATTGTACTTTAATCACACACAACACAACACAAGCAGGAGTAAATTCATACACATATTTCAAAAGACAGCTTAAAGCCGCATGAACTTGAAAAAAAATAACACATTTGAAACTCATACATATCGAAAGACTGTTTAAACACAACTCTGGAAATACAATTTTACCACCAAAATAAAAAAAGTGATACACTCAAATAGGCATTGAACTCTCACAAAAATAAAACATAACTAATTAGTAACCTTTCCAAGAGTCTTACAACACTTCAATCCATTTTGCATGCACGAAAATGTACATGCACACAACCGCACGCATATTTTAAAAATATTTACTCCTATACTGATTGTCTGACTTCAGTAGTATTAGAAAATGACAAAAAGTGAACGATGACTTCATCACTCAGGGATTTAGTTATACAGCATTCATGACTGAGAGAGGCTGTTTTATATTCTTGCATTAACTGTCCCTGTGTGTTTGCAGGACCAGTAGGTTGAGGGTGTCTGAGGTTCATGGTGGAGGATGACATCGTGGGAGATGTTTCAGTCCAAAAATAATGCATTTCAATACACAGAAGAGAGTGAGTATGTGTAAACCTGAGCTACTGAATGCCAGTATGTCTGTGCACTTTGCAGAGCAACAGTCTGCATTAAACCAGAAGACAGACGGGCCTGTCTGTCCTGACACACAATCCTGCAGTCCACAGCCTCCACATGGCTCAGTGTTAATTAAAAAGCCTTCCTGTGCTGGCCGTGCGGCTGTGCCTCGGACCCTGCGAGTCGGGGGCTGCAGCTTTGAGGCAGTGGACTGTTAGCAAAGGGAGAGAGCCAGAGCAGTGTGTATTGAGGAGGAGGGGGGTCTTTGAAAGCAGAGCCATGACAGCTGAGGGGGAAGCATGTGTGAGGCATGTTTGTTTTGCATTTACCCCCTGAGCGCAGCTGTGTGCACTGTCCTTTTCCCAGAACACCGGAACACAGCAGACGCCCTCGCGGCTCGCCCTCCGTCCAACCCCACAGCTAGAGACAGGGGGCCCCCATGTCCACAATTGCAAGGAGACCCTCTCAGTTTAAGTCAGAGATATGTACTCTAAAGACAGGATTATGCATATGCCTTGGATTTGGGTCGGAGAGTAGAACTGGATGTAATTTGGAGGACTCTGGGGTGATCTGCTCTGATGACAGGTTAGAGCCTGAACCCACTTCTCTTACATGCCCAGAAGGGCAGGGAATGTGGTTCAGTTTAGAGAATTAGCGATGGTTGCACAGCCTGAAGGGGCACTACACAGTATCAGGTTTGCTTATAACTCTTTGTTCTGCCTAAATCAGGCCTTGCTAACAAAGGAAGAACAAGCTTAACCTCATTGGCATACATCATCAGCTATTTCTGTCACTAGAACAGGCCGTTACCAGGGGGAAAGCAAGGTCAACTATTTGAATATTTGCATGATTTGAGGATATGGGTATGATGTGCGCTCAGAGCTCATCTCTGATTCGCCCCCTCTTTTCTCCCCACGGAGAACACACACAAACACAGACATATTGTTCTAAGCCTAGAGTAAACGTGGAGTAATGGCTGTAACCAGGATTCCTTACGGTGACACGTTGGTGGTTTACTAAAAGAGATCCTGCTCAGATAAAGCGCCAAAAAATTGCACACTATCTCATGACTGTTTTTGTTTCTTCGGGAACTCTAAAATATGTTTTTGGTTAGCCCCAGCTGTCCGGCCAATGTTGCCTTTAAGAAGAGTGCTCACTTATACATCTTTATGCAGTCAGCCAGTGTACCTACACCAGGATGCTACCTGATCCCCTTGAGTCTTACTGTTGTCTCACTAAAATGTAATACTGTCATCTTAAATCGTTTAGCAGTATGTTGAACAAATACATGCTTTTTTGTGGAAAATGTGGATGTCATAGTTTCAGAAGGAGGACTTGTTTTGATTTGACAGATATAATGACAGAAAAAGGGAAAGAAATACATTAACGCTTACGGCAGAGCTGCTTTACCATGTGTGTGCCATCATGACAGTCAAACACAGACGTGTTAAAGTCTAGAAAAGGCTGTTAAACACTGACATCCTTTCAATGTTAAAAGTGTCAACACACTCTGTATCTCCACCAGTCTCCTCTGTTTCAAAGGTGGCTGCTGCTGGTTTCGCTGTTATTTCTGGCAGAATGACTGACTAGTAGGCACTTCTCTCCTCTAAACTCCTGAGACTAAATGCAAAGGGGTACAGTCATGTCCACTTGGAGTCTGTCCTCCTGAAACAGAGCGGCTCTGTTTGGAGGCTGGCGCTCCCAGGCTCTTCAGCCCTGAGAGCAGCAGGCCTGCTGTGCCCCTCTCCTGCTCCCACTCACCACTTCCTCCTCCATCCCTTCCTCTCCCCGCCATCAGCAGGCTGAGTCAGTGCGGCAGGTGGATCTCTCACCCTGATCACACTAAAACAAACCACATTTCATCTGTTTGACTTTTAAATGCTGGAGGGTGGAGGGAGCCCCTTGTAGCTTTTTTTAGCAACTGAAATGTTTTCTTTGTATCTGAAAAGCCGTATGCTGTGACAGACATGCTTGATATGAGCACTACCACAGCTTCAGTGTTACTGAAGTAACACACTTCTGCATGTGCTTTTGCTGCTAATAAAAAAGCCTTGTAATTACATAAAACAACTATTTTATATTCTCAGTTTAGCTTCCAGAGATGCTTGCTGAACTTTTTGTCACAAAAAAAACAGTAACAATAGAAATCAATAATAACACTCAACATTTAAATAATAAGATAAGAATAAAACAGCACCTGAACAGAGAACTACGCTGACACTGAAAGCCCTGGACACACTCTCCTGTATTTTAGCAAATAAGTGCATGGATTTGTTTGAAGTTGTTATTTCTAACATGTTCGGCATCTGAACTACATTGCCACTCCTGTTATACAGTAGAGCATCTCTCCACCAAGCTCACCTGCACAGCCATGGCACCCCCCCCCACTTATATGACCAAATCTCTTGATGTTCTCTCTAGGAGTAATATCCACCCATCCAAGTACTTCAATAATTATTGTATTGCAACATTTATGAAGGTAGTCACTGTTGCCTTTTGAGTTTTTGATTATAGTGTCCCCTCACCCCATGCTGGGATTGAATAGACTCTTGAGGGTCCACTAGGTCACCCCATCCAGCAGGTATACACATCATGTGGCCCAGGATATGGCTGCACTGTGCTCTTTGGCCTTCATGCGCAGAGCGGCGATACTGGAGGACTTGCGGTCAGGGTCCATGTTCAGATCGTACGTGTTGATGCCTGAAGCCATGCCAGGATGCCCTCCAAACAGGCTGCCCATGTGACCCTGTCCCACATGACCTCCGGGACTCTGCATGCCCAGGAAATCAGACATCCCGCTGGCAGAGTGGGGGTGGGGGGTCATACAGGCGTTCACAGAGTCGCAGGGCACAACACAGCCCGGCACGGGAGATGCTGCGCTGCTGCCACCGATCCAAGAGGGGTTCTGAATCTGAAATATGGATATGAACATTGTTAAAAAATTACATAACTAAACACACTATATTGGTTGTTCAGGCTATTCACTTTGTCTTGTGTTATACAAGTGTACAATTCAAAAATGTTTTATTGAATACAACAGGAATCAACGTCAAATGTTCAAAACTGCAGTACAATCCAATGTGAAAGTATGTGTGGGTAGAGACAAAGTGAAGTGTTTATTCTTTCTGTACCTGTGCATAGTTCTCAGGGCGCGTCAGAAGAGGAAGCTCGTAAGCTGTTGAGAAATGTGTTCGGACCTGCTGCATCTGACCAAAACGCTCTCTTTTCCTCCACTTCGCCCTTCGGTTCTGAAACCACACCTGCAGAGAGAAAACGTCTGAATGTCACCTTGCTTGCAGGTTTGTCAAAAAAAATGTATCTTGAAGAACAAGGCGTCTTTACTTTGCTCTAGAAACAGATTCAGTCTTTGCGTTGGGTAAAAGCGAGTTTTGAATTCAAAGAAAGCAAGATGGAGTGTAGTACCCGCTAAGCTATATGCTTCGACAGGAAGTTTCCCCTGAGTCTTAAGGAAATACTCTTCCATAGATAAAAATCGACGTTTCCCTTAAACACGATACCATGCAGCACTGCAGGAAACTGAATGGTTGAAAATCAGAAAGGATTTCAGCACATCAAACTGCGAACTTATGCTGCTAAATTTAGAGATGGAAATAAAGATGTTAGTCTGTTTAGGCTGAAAACTGTGAAAGAAAAGAAAGGGGGGAAATAACCTTTATAAACATTGTGCTGCAACGTTCACTTCACTTTACTAAACAAATATAAGCAGACCTAGTGCCTATCAACTCTTCTTATTTGTTGTCTGACAAGAGCAGGGCTTTTTCTCATGACTCATGTTTCCTATCATCATATTTGACATCTAAAGCTGACGCTTTTGTTTATTGTAAGCATTATTGTGTTTAAATGACCATCAGACTGACCTAAATACTGATGGGCTTTAACCTGACATGCTTTTCTTCAAATGTCAAAATGTAAAGGTATGTTATACAACTCTTACTCTTTCTGCTTTTTTCTTCCTTCCTGACCTTGCTGAGTTTATTCAACAAATAACTCTCCCTGTGTGACTTGTTCCTTATAGGATTTCTCTTCTTCATATTATCCTCTCGTCGCTGACAAATCTAATGAGGAAATATGGGAATTGAAAAGTGAGATGCGATAGTAACTGGGGTTTGTTTGCATTTTCAATTTTAATTTCCTGAGGCCGAAAGCTCCTGGCTTTGAGATGCTTCTGCTCCTAAATTAAAGAAGCACACAGACTAGAGGTCGTAATCCTTCCCTCCTTGATGATTTCATACTTCTTCCTCTACTCTCAGGACCAAAAACCTTACACAAGATCACTGTGTTCCTCTAATAAATATTGATTTATGATAATTATACAATAAGATGCTTTTGTAAGGTATCTCTACAGCTCTCATCTGCTCACTGTATGCTTAATGCCGAGTCTGCTGGCTATTAAACAGAGAGAACATATTTTTGTGTTGCACACACAGCGTTGTGACAGTAATTGGTAAAGACTATGACAGCTTAAGTAGCTGGTAGACTTTCAATGAGGCTTTATTTATGTTTCAGCCCCAGAGAGAGAGAGGGCAGGGAAATGCCAAACTGGCCCCAGCAGGAGAGCTGTATGGGGCTGAAAACACTTTGAAGTGAGAGAGCGGCTCAGAGGATTGATAACCCGCCTCTGCTGTCACTCATGTCAGCTTCCATACCAAAGTAAAAAGAAATCCAAGGCTGAGCCTGGCTTCGCTTTCCCAACACCCCCAAAGCACTAATACTATCATGGAAACACCTCTGACCGGTGTTGCTGTTCATTAAATCTAAGTTTGTTCTTTTCCCCCCAGAACACTACCACATCATTTCTTATTTCCCATGTCAGTTGAAGGTGAGTGCAGGACACCAGTGGAGTGATGGAAAAAAGAGAAAAATAAACGTGTTAACAGTTTGAATAAGTATTCTTTGAGTAATTGTTTAACGTCTAATAATGTAAATATTTACTTATTAATTAAGAAACTGAAACAAGGGTGCATTCTGATTATTTTCTAGTAAAATGACTGAAGTGATGAATTGATTATGACAATATGACTCAATTTCTATTATGTTTACTGAGTGATCAATTAATCAAACTCATTAATCTGACAAATTGTTTTGGAAGCCGGACTTGTACAAATAATGGATAGTTTATGTCGTGATTCCTTACCCTTCATAGTTTAAGAAACATTTTGATGCATATATAAAGTGACAGACGTGATCATTCTAGTTTTAATGCCACTGTTAACTCTTTGTGCCTTGAATCTCATTTGGACACCTGTGTTTGCCGGTGGACTCCACATGTCAGATGCCATCTCAGCTATCTATCTCTGGGCTAACCGAATGGAGAGTCTGAGAAATGTGATGTTGTTGAAACCCCGACCCCTGACCCCTGACCTTCCCATGTATCTGTAGTGAATATGACTCTGATCTGATCTTACTTTTCTCCCTTTGAAACCCAAAGACTGAAATAGCAAACAACTCCAGACCCTAACGTTCTTCCAGTGAACGTCCCTTGTTTTTTTGCTTGAGAACCTTCAGACAATGAGGTGTAATATTGCCCTCACGTGCTTTAGCTATTTTTTTTATTATTTACATTTGAAAAGTTAAGGTTAACTTTCGAGCAGCAGTAAAAGTTTTTTTTTTAACGTTTCCTCTACTCTAGACACAGAATTCATGATCTGTGTCTTTTTGTGTGTGAATGCCTTGAGGAGAGTACAGAGCCCTGTTCTCTGACTGACTAGGCATCTTGTGTCTTTTATCTTTTTTAACTTGAGTGTTTAAGAGGGCCGCTGGGAGAGCCAAGGGCTGTAAAGCTGCATCCATCTGAAGCAGGCAGGTCTGTGATGGTGTGAGCCTCAGAGCAGAGCGGCATACCTACAGAGCCTCAGGGTTGAGTTATAACCCTGCGGCTGCACAGACTTCCTGTGTTTCACTGCAAAGCTTTGCTGGTCACTGTTCCAGCTTGTCATGTAAAAAATTGCTTTCAATCGTGCTCTTATCTCATCCCCTAAATATTGAACTGGCACACAACAAAAATGTAGTGAAAATATAAATCCCTTGCATGAGTTTAACCAAAAACGATTGTGCCTTAAAATGACCTAAAAATATTTGATATGACTCGAAATATCAGTCGCTAACTCAAAGCTCACAGGAAGGGTTTCACACCTACCCGGGACACCACAGCAGGGACACATTCTTGTCTGAACGGGATGTTAATGAAAGGAAAACACAGCAAATCCAGGGGCTTTGGTAGTCTGTGGTGCACACGTACACATGCACACATAGACACACACATACACCACTCAGAAATGCTGGAGGTCTCGTTCTCTGTTCATCCATTTTTGAGGGCATTACAGCAGTCATGGCCAGATTGTATGTAAATCAGGCCAGAAGGTCACTCAACTGTTTTCAAACTGAGAGGATGTGCGCCTGATGCTCGACTAAGACTGGCTAAACTGAAGTCACAAATACAGAAAACCAAAACAGCTCAGGTACAAAGAAAAAGGCCATTGAAACGCTCGCATCCACATACAGCAGTCTCATCGTATGCTGATAAAAGTCTGCAAAGCTCTCCTAAAACTGCACATATGAGGCCCAGGCAGCTCCAACCTCAGCCCCATGGGCCCCCTGGCCTCTGTTAGCTCCCACTCCCCCACTCTCTCTCCCCTCAACTCCCACATTACCAGATATATCTCTCATGTTGTTGTGAGAGTGACGTTATCTCGGCAGAGCTGCAGATGTTGAAGGGTCCATGAGGATGTGTTCTTAAAACATCCCCTGTTCTGCTGTAACAAAGAGCTCTTCACTCATTGATATGACAGCATGTTTTTGCAAATTGTTTTTCTTTTGAATGATCCTCTGTCTTTTATACAATTCTACTTGTTAGTTGATGTTTAGGTTGCTTATAGCTATACATATCATGTTGTTGAGTGTCCTGCTTTACCTGCACTCTGGCCTCAGTCAGGTCCGTCCTCAGTGCCAGCTGCTCCCGGGCGTAAACATCAGGATAGTGCGTCTTCTGGAAAACCTTCTCCAGCTCTTCCAGTTGGTAGCTTGTAAAGGTAGTGCGGTTTCGCCTTTTCTTGCCCTTGTTGCTTTCGGCCCCATCTCCTTTGTCCATAGGGCTTAACTCTGTGCCTGGAGGCCGATCGGAGGCCGGCTTCCCGCCCTGATCCTTCGGAGACAGGTAGCTGGTGTCCATTCCAGGAGGGTCTGAGTCCGGAGCCAAGTCAGAGTCTGTCAGGCCGGAACTGTCTTTACCTGCAATGACAGGAAGGTAAAATGTTAAAATATGTTTCTCGTTGATATTTTATCAGGATTGAAATGATGAGTCAAAACATGTACACAAAGATATGCATGCAATGCTTTATGTTATGCTGCTATTCTTTAAGATTTAGTCTGCAATACAGCGTTACCTGATTTAAGCCATGTGTGTGGATTCTTAAAATTAATAAAACAATAAAAGTATGCAAGGAAAGCTTTTAATATTCCGACCTCAAAGATCCACAATTCCCTCCTTTTGGTGTAAAAAATATTGAAACTGGCTTTTTTTCAGTCCATAAGCCAAAATGTGTGACTAAAAACCTTCTGGGAAATAGAGTTTTTAAAATAAAAATGCTTTTGATTCATCAAATGTGAAAACATGAGTGACATAAGCAGGGAAAGAGGATTTACACCGTGGGCCTTTTTCACCGTTCTGTAATTACTTTCCATATTGAATGCTTTTGACAGATTTAAAACATTTGTATCACGCCCTTTATTCTACTCCCTGGTAATATTCTTGCCTCTGGCAGTATATTCAATACTTTATTTATTTGTAGGATCAGCATAATAATTCATGGAGTCTGATGGGGTGGGACAAAGGAATCTCTCGCTCTTTGTGAGAAAATTCTGTGACAGTTGTGAAATCTGGCTCGCGATGCTGAGTGTGTGTGTGTCGATTTGTTTTTCTGTTTCTGCCTGTGTAATGGATGGCCTGGATCACTGGCTGCTTACAGTCTCCAGTTGTAGTTCGTAGATCATTCTGGGATGTGACGGGGAATTGACACCCGCGCCCATAATGCGAGAATTACAGAATATTGCATTTTTTAACCACACACGCACGCACGCACGCACACACACATGCACACTTTCACTATGTCCTGCATTTGGTTAAGGTCTACTATGTGGCTGCAAAGTCAGCTGGCAGCAAGACTGTCGCAATTAATTTGTCGGGGAGCATTTTCTAACCACGAAAGAAGAGACAGCTCTGTCTTTGTACTCTCTCTGTCTCTCTCTGACACAAACACACTTGCTTTCTTCACATCTGCGGATTAACTGTAAAACCTCAGGCAGCTCTCTGATCATAAATTTCCACAGCAGTGTCTCTGCCAGTGTTTTTGTAGAAGCTGGCAGCTCCTTTCGCCCTGCTGCTGCCCTTTACTGAACTAACCAGTTTATACATCTTTGGATTAATACATATTCAAATTGAAGAGGATGTGATGCTTGAAAGTCTTTATTTTCAGGCCGTAATGAGGCCTACGAGCCCTCTCTCTCTGGCTCAGTCTAGTGGCAACTCACAGCCCTGCAGTTTTCTGTTCCTTTTACACCAACTGAGGTGAAGTTATTTTCAGGATCGAGGCGACTCTGCTCATCTGCTCGTCCAAACATTTGTCAGGTTAGAACCAGGAGGTGTGTGCGGTCATGTGAGCTCTGAGTGCACTTCTCAGCACTCAGTCAGCACAGAAGATCTCACAAATATACACACACACACACACACACACACACACACACACAAACACACACCCAGTGATCTGCAACTCAGAGCCATGTTGGGTCATGTGTTGCGAGGTGAGGTGAATAGATATCGTGTGAAAGACTCTCCTCACAGACACATGTGCAAACGTTTATATTTAAAGTGCATCTTTTTGTCAACACGATACATTTTGACAAGATATTTCACGAGTTATATTACCAAATAATGTTAATAAAGGTACAACTACAAATACATGTATGTGCATGTAACAAAAGGAGAGTGATAGAATTAACCAAATATAGCTTTTTTATTTCTATTCAAGTCATTTTTTTGTTGTGTAGACCTGTTTGTGGTTGTGGGAGAGCTGAGCATGCAAAAGCCTATCGTTAAATACATTTAAGGAAATGATTTCATTTTGTCTTATTCTTGCAAAAAGAGTAAAACCTGAGTTACATTCTGAATTATATTTCAGCTCTGAGAACCGTGGCTCTCGTTTCTGAGATGTTTTGCAGATGTTACAGAAACGGACTCGAGCTGAAGATGTTTTTGTGTTAGACTGCTTGCAGGGGGTCTAACGGTCGCAACATTGCCTCGGTGTCCGTGACTAACACATCCTGTTAGGCTTGAAGCGATCAAATGTGTTTTATCCCAGCATAAATACTCTCTAGTTATTTCATCATATTTCCCTGGCCGGCACCCACGGTCCCCACAAGGCAAGAGCTGTCAGGCTGTTTGGAATCATGAGGCCTCGCTCTGATCAAAGACCATTGTTTACATCGCATGTCACTGATGTTTTTTTGGCAGGAGTGGGATATTGTGACAATCTCTAGCTTGTTATCCATACGATCTGCCGTAGCTGTGAGGATCACCATCAGTTCCTAAGGTGAACAGCGGTGGGCCCTCCTGTAGGGAACACCATATGTACGAAGAGCATAGGAGAGTCTTATTGTCAGGGTATCATCTCTGTGGACAGAGTGACTATGAAAAACATACTCTGCGTCAAAACCTCTATCTCATTGTCCATGAGTACAAATAGCTTTTTCCTTTATTGGACAAAAGATAGTTTACACCTGCACTTCCGCATGTATTGTCTTTATGTGTCCCAAATAACACGACAAACCAACCAAATGAAATTTATTTTCAGATAAATATGCCAACAATACGTTTTGGAGCTGCAGCAGAAGGCCTTTTTTCTCTGCAGTGGACAACAATATGTTAAAATGATTGTGTTTTAGTGAAGAAAAATGTAAGACAAATGTAAAAGTTGTGATATTGGGATATATAAATAAACTTTGATGATTGATTGTAGAAAGAGAGGAGAGTCTGCAGCTTTGTCTGCTGGGCACAGAGCATGTTCAGCAGAAAGTAAATTCACAGAAACACTTGAGAAAAACATATTTAAAAGTCAAATTAAGTGTATTTTAACATTGATTAACATGGTGAGGATCTTCCCATGTGAACATCAGCACCAAAATGACGTTCGTATGAATCAGACAGCAGACAGCTATTAAGTCACAGTTGAAAATAAGGGGGCAACATCAAAGTGTAATTTAACTGGCTGTAAAGCGACAGGGCACCTTCACTGCATCTTTATTGACGGGGATGGATGGGGTCAGCTCATGGTGTTAAGAGGAAACACAATAAATTACACTCCACACAGCGACTGGGAGAGATTAACAACATGTTGGTCTCACTCAAAAATAAATATCTGAAATAAAGGGAAGCCCGAACAGCGCAGAGAAAATAAATGGAAAAGGAAGTTTTTCTAGCTAAATGTTGAAAACACACGAAAGGACATGCATGAGCATAGTACTTGTTTGTACACGTTTCTGGGGTTTGTTTTTACTGATTTATAATATGGATTGTGATTTAATATGAAGATTTCAACGAGGATAACTCTAAAGTCTTACTTGGCTGGCTGAGACACTGATACTCAATGCTGTGTGCGGACTGGGAAACCAAGACAAGGAGAGTATGAAGAAGAAAGGATATTTTATGAATCCCTTTGGGGATTTATGATTCTAATCCAAAACATTTCAGAGGAAAATATTAGTTTTAACTAAATTCACCAGACAGATGCATTACGTTCCTAGTTAAACTTGCAAGACTGGTCAATTTTTATATATTAAACTGATAAACATGAGTTAAATATTGTAGAATTCATTTTTATTTTAACCTACAATGACTGATTGTTTTAGCCTCTTGGGGCCACACATATTATACCTTTTATAGTTGATATATTTGTTACAAACATTTTTGATTGTGTTAGCTCGAGTGGGTACCAATTTATGTTGCAGCATAAAGTATATGCAGACACTTATAAAACATGTAACATATAAACAGATCTTCAAACTATGACACAACAGAGTGGCACCGGACTGAAAAAGGAAGTCCTACCCTAGATTTTAGGGGTGGGCCGTGCCACTTCATGGTCACATGCCCCTGCAATCAGTTGCTTATTTACACATCCGGCAGTTACAGGACAAACATTGTCATTGATGTGAAATTGTATCTTGGCCTTCTGATGAAGGAGAGTCCTGCCTTTTGGCTCTGTTTTTGGTCTCCACCAATTCCTGAGAGAAATAACTGCTGCTAAATGCCCCACTATCAGCAGATATTGGCCAACCTGGATTTTCTGCTACTTTATGCTAATCTGAAAAGCAACACTATGAGAGTGAAGACAGTGAAGCAAAGCAGTAACGTTTTGAACAGATACACAATGAGCTAAAAACCCACTATAAAGCTCTGTAAAGCCCAGGGGAGCCACAGATTAAGATGATAATTCGCTGTAGGTTCATCACTACGATCACATTGTCACAGTGTTAACACATTCATACATTGTTATTATAAAAATAGCTGCTACAGCCGATTTAAGTGAAGGATAAAACTTCTTCCAGCTCCACTGAAGATGATGTCAAAGTTTCTGACCGCCTGTTATTGAAATCCAACCTTGTCACTTTTAGAAGTACAAATAACACGACTATGAATAGCTTGGCACTATACTTGTTGGTGTGGTGTCAGGTGCATTCATCAACACATTTTGGTACAATAAACACACACACCCACACCCACACACACACACACACACACACACACACACACACACACACACACACACACACACACACACACACACACACACACACACACACACACACACACACACACACTTAGGTCTTAGAAGCCACTGCTGTGATTTGAAAACGGTCAATGTGACTCACAGACAGAACCTCGGCAAACATTACGTTTTCGTTTTTTTTTTTCAACAATACATTTTCTTTAGGTAGCCATTCACTTTGAAATTCAATTCCACTGACCGAGCAGAGCAATGATCCTCTCAGCAGGCTGTGAACAATTCATAGACTGTGAAAAAAAAGATCCATAAAGCCAAAGACTGATAAATCACCTCTCACGCACACTTTGTCTCCCCCGCTCTCTCCCCCTCGGACTCTCTCTCCCCCTCGGACTCTCTCTCCCTCCTACCTTTCTCTCGGAGTTTGGAGCAAAATAGAATTTCCTCTTGAGT